CTCGGTGCGCAAGCTTCCCCGCAGAAGCAGAAGTCACAGAAGGGCGAGGGAAGGGTGACGAGTGTGAGCCCCCTGAGAACTGAAAGTGGGAGGACCCACTGAGGGGCTAGAGACTTGGCGGTCAGGGGGCCACGCTGGAGAGGAGGGGAGGAAGTGGGTGTGAACGTGGGGAGCCCTCTGGAGAGCTTGGCTGATGAAGTGAGCCACAGGGTGACGGCCATCCTGTGGGCTCTGCCTCAGCGACACGTAGGCAGAGTAGGCCAGCCCCGGGAGGTTCCTCGTGGCTCCAAATCCTTAGGGAGGCAGACTGCCTCCTTTCTCCTGAGGGCAGTGGATGCCTTTGAGCAGAGGAAACCAAGGGTGAGCGGTCCAGCAATTTACCCACTGCCCCCAGGGCACCAGAGGCGGCAGAAGACCCCTGGGTTGCCGGGCTGTGTCTGCAGACAATGGAGTCCAGGCCCTGGTCCCAGAGGTGAGCTGGAGGGCTGGGCCAGAGGGCAGCGTCTTCGTCCACTGCCTTCCCTTTTTGGAGAAGTAGGAGGTGAGGCCCTCAGCCGAGCCTAACACACGCACCAAGCACAGAGGGAGGGTGGGTGGGCCAGGGTTCCGAGTGAGGGCAGCTCGCAGCGGGGCAGTGTGAGGACGGAGGGCTGCCAGAGCAGGGCCAGGGAGTGGGGGTTCCAGTGGGGGCTGGTCACCATTCTCGGGGCCACGGGTGCACCCACGAGTGTGAGGCCTTCGAGTGTGAGGCCTTCGGGGCTCTCCATAGCCCAAGTGCAAACTCAGAACAGAGTCACAACCATCCCAGGCTGAGCTTCTACCAGCAGGGATCGGCAGAGCCGTGGCATTAAATACAAGCAAGAGAGCGAGGTCCTGAGAAGCCACGATCTTTGTTAAGGAGCACTGCTTACACAAAAATGCCGTACCCGGTGAGTGGCTGTAGGGGACAGAAGCTTGTTGTCTCAACAGTTCCGGGGGCCGGGGGCCTGAATTCGGGGGAATCAGCTCTCATGAGGGTCCTCCTTTGTCTCTCGCCTCCTGGAAGCTGCCGGCAGCCCTGGGCTGAGAGATACAGCCGCCTGGACGCAAAGTTCAATCCAACACAACATCGAACCTGGAGGGGAGGAGGGAAGTGGGGGCGGGAGGGGGGAGGGAAAGGGAGGATGGAGACTTGAATGAGGGATCACAGCAAGGATGATGAGGTGAGCAGGTTGGAAACGTCAAAGTGGTGGCCCTAAGACATGGCATGGGAATGAGGGATGCAAAGGGAGAGTTCTGTGGGGGGTGTTTTATGCTGAGACAACAGAGGGCTTAGTTAAGATAGGGAGGGCTGAGCGAGAACAGGGAGACAAGGCCCGAGTGGAAAAGATCGATAGGAGTCAGGTGTGAAATTCTTCAATGAATTCAGTCCCTGGACGGTGCCAACAGTGAATGTGCTGGGCTGCTGACTGAAAGGTGAGAGGTTCAAACCCATTCACAAGGGCCTCGGAAGAAAGGCCTGGGATCCACTTCAGAAAACTCGGCCTGACCACTGATCACCCTGTGGAGCACCGTTCTTCTCCAACACGTGGGGGTCGCCCTGAGTCAGAGTCCACTGGGCTGCAGCATGCAAATGGGCCCAGGAAAGACATCACTGAAGAAACTGGGGAGGAGTGGGCAAGACTAGGGGAAGTGGAGACCACAGAGAAGACAGGCGGAAGGGTGTCCTCCGCGTGGAGTTAACAAGAAGAGGCTGTGGAGCCTGGGCTGCAGACTGAGGAGTAGTAGGCATGGGGCCCTGGCTGAGGCCGCTGGACAGTGCTGCCAGCAGCGGCTGGGGCTTGGAGGCACTGAGGTGAGGTTCTTTGTGGTGCATGTCCTGGTGACGGTTTTAGTTTGCACAGGTGATGCCTGGGAGCCAGAAACCAAGCTCGTTGCCATCGAGCTGCTGCCGACTCATAGTGACCCTACAGGACAGAGCAGAGCTGCCTCGGTGGATTTCTGAGACTGGAACTCTTTATGAGCCCACAAAGCCTCCTTTTTCTCCCAGGAAGTGGCTGGTGGTTTCGAACTGCTCCCTTTGTGGTTGGCAATCCTAACTCGTAACTACTGAGCCGCCCATAAGTGCACGGTTTCGAACTGCTCCCTTTGTGGTTGGCAATCCTAACTCGTAACTACTGAGCCGCCCATAAGTGCACGAGAAAGCACTCACATGGTACACGAGTACCCTACAAAAAGTGACAGCCCTCCCTCTCTGGACCATGCATCTGGACCATGGCTAGCTCCTTCCTTGGCCGCAGCAGCAGGTGGCAAGGTTTATCGGGGGCTGTGTGGTCCAGTGCACATGCTCACAAAGTCCACTCCATCTCAAAGTGCTCTAATCAGATCAGGTCCAAGCAGGGACTAGCAGACGGAAGAGTCCTTGCCCATACCGGCCACACGAGGGCAGCCGAGTGCTGGCCTGAGGTACTGTCCACCACCCATCACCATCACCCCTCAACTCTTCAGGGCCCAGAAAGATGTAGATGGCCACCAGGGAAGGGGGGTTGGAGGCCGGCAGGCCGGCAGCCCGTCAGTGGGGCTACTAGAAACAGAACTGCAGAGAGAGAAAGAAAACAATGAATTCCAAGAATCAGAGACCAGGAACATAAGACCGCAGTCCCCAAACTTCCACCCGCTGCAGATTTAATGACAAGCCACAAGAAGTGATGGAATCCAGGACCCCAGCCCTCTGCAGGCACTGACTGGCCACGGTGGCCCTGCCCCAGGCACACATGGGCAGGGGCATGGCCAGAGCCCGCTGCGCACCCAGAGCTTCAAAGGTGGTGGTCATTTCAGTACCTAGGTACCCAGCCGTCACCAAGAGGGCTCCTTTATCCCTGGGAGCTGCCCTCTGGGCCCAAGCACACTCAGAGCACTGAGGGGGCAGTTCGGGGTCAGTCGCTGGTTGCAAAGGTCCCAGTTTGAGGTCTCGCCACAGCCCAAGTTAATCCAGTCTGCCATGTGCACCAGAGGTGGCTGGAGTCCCAGTTGGGAGGGTCAATCTGTTAGGTGGCTAGATTCAGGGACAGGGAGCTGTCCCTCCCCGTGCAAGGAGGTTGGAAGGAAATCAGGCGACCATTAGATGCCTATGAAGATCCCCAAACGGAGCGTGCTCAAATCCAAGCCCCCAGCCAGGTGGGAGGTACACCTGGGCGGTCCAAACTAGGCCCAGGCTCATGACCCCACCCAGATGGGCTCAACCCAGCCAATGGGGTCAAACAACACCTTCAACCCTGCCTTCCCAGCCAGGGGGTGGGCTAGGATACAGGCAGGGAGCACAACCTGGGACTCTCTTACCCCAACTCTGGCTTCCTCAGCCTCTTGCCCTTCCTCCCTCGACCTGAGATCCCTCCCCCAGTTCGGCACCCATGGGTGCTCTCTTCCACATGGTTGTTCATGTCCAGTTGTGAACTCCACTCGGCTTGGCACACTTCCCTGAAATAGTGTGTACCCTTTCCAGACTACAATCTACAACTTGTCCTGTCCTTCATAAAAATCCACTTGGATTACAAAACGGGCTTCAGCGTGAATTTTTCATCATGCGAAGCCAAGAACCCACTCCAGAAACCTTACAAATCTGTAAGATAGTCTCCCTCCCCCTCTGCACACACACCCCTCCCGTCCCCCCACCAACTTTGCTGGGAAAGGAGCTGCGTGGTAAGGAAGATGAGAAATGGATTCCAGAGACCTCCAGCAGCCTTTTCCAGCTCAGAGTGAAGCTCCAGTGCTGGAGGAAGGGCAAGGCGGGTCCCAGCCCATCTGCCACAGTCAGTCCTTCTTCTGGGCACTGCCAGGATAACAGGGTGGGGGTGGGCGGAGACTCAAGCCTCTCCGAGAGTCCAGATGCCGGCTTCCTCCATGATGCTCAGACCTGCGCCCACACCCTCACTTCTTGCTACCAGCTGGGGCCTGAGATGGGGTGACAGCAGCAGCAGCACCCATTCCCCAATTTTCCAAAGCCCCCCAGTCTGGTGCCTCAACTAAAGTCAGAGTTCCCCGGCAGGCAGCTTAGTTTCTTCCCCTAGGAATAGAGGCCACCAGGAGCTGAGGGGGCGAGGACAGGAAATGGGATGCAGTCTTTTTTCTGCCCTGCCCCCAGTGTGAGCTGACACAGAGACGCTGGGTGCCCCTCCCATCACCACAGATCTCTGGACCACCAACATCTCCTGCACTGGAACCCAAAAGGCCAAATGGAAAATCCTTGAGCTCTGACCCCCAGCTGACTGCTTGCATATTTTGCATAGATGTATAATAGTTCAGCTGACCCTTTAAGCCCACCCTTCAGGACCAAGCCAAGGAAGCTCAGCTGGGCGACCAGCTGGGAGCTGCTGTGGGGGCAGGCAGCGTCTGAGAGACTGTTGGCAGCAGCAGGAAGGTCACTGGGGATGGCTTGGGCCAGTGGCACAGGGTGTGGGGCTCGAGGACCTGAAACTGCATTTCACATGTGGGGGGCGGGGCTTATTTTGGGAGGAGCACATTTTCCATCAGTATCTCAAAGAGGGGTGGGCAGAAAGAAATAAAAGGAGCAATAGGGGAAACCTAAGAACAAGCCCCAAATTTGGGGTCAGAGCACGTCCCATCCCTCTGAGTCTCCACTACCCCATTTGAAAACAAGGAATTCCCAGTGGGTCTGGAGACTCTTCCAGCCCAGCTTGGGAAGGGGAGTGGGGGCTCCGGACTAGTCCTGACACAGGGCTGTAAAGCTGCTGTGTGTCTCTGACCAGAGGGCTGGGAGAACCTGGACAGGAGGGAAGTGGTCTCCACTCTTTCTCCCAGGACACAGCAGAGAGGAGGCAGGTGTCCCCTGAGTTGGCCTGGCCACCTTTAGCCCAGGAGCAGCAAGGCACACATACAGCCCTCCTTCCACGGGGGACGGGAGCAGTGGGCTTGAGGTGAGAAGCCCTGGGCTCAGCAAGGCCAGTGTGGCCCAGCAGCCCAGCCAGGATTAGCGACAAATCCTGGGCTGTTCTGTGCAGGGATCACACGTCGTCATCGTCGGCTTCACAGCTGCTTAGCTGCACCCTGCCCTTGCCCCTCACCAGCCCCTCCGCACGAGCACCCAGGCTGTAGCCCTTCTCAGAGGGGCACAGGGCCCTCCTCTGCCCTTGGCAAGCAGGGCAAAGGCTCTAGGGACGGAGGACAAAACTGGTCAGTTGCCCCCACAAAGAGCTCTCCCTCTGAAGACCCTCAGGAGCAACCAGGTAGAACACTGAACAGAGGAAGGGGACAGTGGAGACTCTCCCAGAGGTGGCCTTGACTTGGGCCACCCGCCCGTCCCTCCAGATGGCTCCTGTCCTTGGACAGAGGAGGCAGGAGCTGCAGAGACACCCACAGCTGCGAGGCCTCAGCCCCAGCGTCCAGGAGCAATGTGTGCCTGAGGCCCCCCATCTGCTGGGACTCTAGTCATCCACCACCACCCCCACCTCCTACACACCCTCCACCACCAGCACTCCATGCTCCTTACTCCACACTACATCTGTCCCCCAACCTGAGTGGGGCTATGGGAAGGAGCCTCAGCTCACCTCCCATGCCCTGGTCCCTGGCTCTGCCCTCAAATACTCCCCCAATCCCTGTTCAGAGGATGGGTGAGAGGGCAGAAGAGAGGGGGAAGATGGGGTACCAAGAAAAAAGGCCTCCCCTCCCCTAGGCCCTAAACAGCTCATGCCTGTCACTAGTTGGGCAGAGAAGAACAAAAAGTGGAGGGGACAGCTGTTAGGAGGGGACAGCAGGCAGTGAGGGGGAGGCAGCCTTTTCACTCTGACCCCTGCTCACCTAGGCTGGCTGCAGGTCCCACCAGCTGGGGATTGGGAGCCCTAAACCAGAGCCACTAAAAAGCTGATTCTCCTAGCTGGGCCCCCAGGTGCATCCCCTCAATATAGAGACCATTCACACCCACGCCTGTGCCACCTCCCCCACCCCCCCATACACACACACCTGCCTGCAGCCTGCACTCCGGATACTCACCTATTGGCTCCAGCATCAGGGGAGGGGCAGGTGTCCTCCTGAGGGCAGCCGGCTCCAGCCAGGCCCCCCTCCACCACCACCCCCAGGCCTACAGATGGTCTTCGCCCCCACCAACCGGCTCAGCCTCGTGAGAAGCCCGCCGCTCACGGGCCAGGAGCGCGGCCAAGCCCTGGGCGCGGAGGAGGAGCGCGCCACCCAGGAACACGACCCCACAGAGCACGAGCAGCGACAGCACGGCCAACACCGCCGCCTGCACGGCGCGTGGGCCCTCGGGGGGCTCCGGCGACGCCCCCGACTGGTTGCAGCAGGAGCTCAGCCAGGGAGTCCAGGCGGCAGGGCCGGCCTGTGAGCCGTTCATGCTCCTGCCCAGATGTGCGGGACTGCCACGTGTGCGGGAGCTTGGGGCGGCCGCTGGGAGCGCGGGCGGACCAGAGGACTGACTGAGGGGAGGGGCCCGAGAGGCGGATCCCCGGAGCCTAAGCCCCAGTCCCCGCCCAGCAACGAGGTCAGGATCTTTCTAAAACAAGGGGCCTCTTTTCCAATGTGGGCTCCAGCCCCTCCTCCAGAGACCCTCAGCCCTAAGGCCGAGGTGGGAGTCTCCTCCCCAAGGCCTGCATTCAACACTCCACCTGTACTCAAGTGAACCGGCCTGTCCTCAGCCAGCAGGGTCTCTCCCAGACAGCTGCTCTCCCTCAGCAAAGGAGGCCTATGGGTAGCACCTCCCTCGGAGCCTGGAAAGAACTTCCAGACCCCCATGCTGGTGCTGGCTGCAGAGGCCACCATTCAGGGCCATCCGCAGTGCTGGGCTTTGTCCATGGGTCCAAACTCAATTCAATCAGGTGGCCCAGGGGGCAGCCTCCAGGACGTCCGGAGCGACGCTACCCTTCCTTTCCCATCATGCCTGTGGGTGCCTCCTTTGGCCTCCACTGCAGAGGGTAGGGATGAGGGGGTGAGCAGGAGTCCTCTCTAGGGCTACCCCCAATCCCTCCCCTCTACCCTGGCCACCAGTCTCCTCTTCAACAATGCCAAAAGGGCCGAGATGTGACTGTCCTGTCCTCTGCCAGCTGGGTGGTGGGAGGTTGGAGTGGAGTCCAGCTGCAGGAACAAACGGAAAACATCTGGAGAGGCTGAAAAGAGGGAAAGGTGCCCTGCTCAAGGCTCCTGAAGACCTCCTCCAGCGACTCTCAAGCCTGCCCTCAAAAACACCACCCACCAGTCAACACCTGTGCCAGTCACCCGCTCAGGAGGAACTGCCAGCTGGGAGAGAGGACCCCCCAGACAGCAGGAGGCTAGACATCGGTCGTCGGTCACACATGATCAAGGACCTCCTGGGAATGAGCCTTTCCACCTGCAACTCCCTCTCCAAGTCCCCGGCCACCGAGCCCCTGCAGCTGCCGAGATGTTAGCAGTCTACAGATGGATTCCAAGAGATCAAGGGCGGGGGTAGCTGAGCAGTCAAACGTGCAAGTACTTCCTGGGCAAGCTGGACCGTGAGCAAGACCCCTTACAAACACACACAAACACACACACACAACCAATGGGTTTACAATTGCCCCAGGTGGTAGTCAGAGGACTGTAAAACACAGACTAGAATGACATTCAGTGTGTGTGTGTGTAAAAGCAAGCATGAGTTACCAGAGCAAGGTCTTAAGAAGCGGCCAGAGCCAGCCCAACCTGGGCAAGTGTCACCATCATCTCGCCCCAGAGAGAAGCGCTCCTAATCAAATGGCCCATCTGGCGTGTGTTGGGGGTGGGGCCTGAGGGGCTCAGTGAACACAGAGAACATGCTCCGTGGGGCCATTATGAAGCAACACCCACAACCCACTGCCCTCCAACTGATGTTGACTCGGAGTGACCCAATGTAGGGGTTCTTGATGGGAGCAGAAAGCCTCATCTTCCCCCACCCCCCACCCTCGAGTGCCTTGGGGGTTTGAACTGCCAGCCTGGAGGTTGGCAGCCCAATGCTTTGAAATAAGACCCAGTACTACAAAAGCCAGGGCTGTTTTCATTTCCTAGGAAGGAAGGTGACATAGCTCAGACACATCCACAGGAGACAGACCCTGACCCCGTGTCCTCACTCCAGGGGCTGACTGTGGTCACCTGTCTGTGCGAGTGTCCAAGGAAGAGTGGACGCTGTCAGTCATCCTCTCCATTAAGCCCCCGTTGTCTTGGAACAG